TATTTATAGTCATATTGACATTATACCAGCAACATATCCACCTTGTACTACAGTTTCAATGTCTATCTATAGACTATGTCACAGACATGGAAAAAAACAAAAACAAATTTCAAATAAAAAAATAAAAGCTCTCTGGCAACAGAATCTATTCATATGTTAAAAGGGTTTTATTGTATGAGATTTATCAAAGGCAAATTAAGTATAGAAAGATAGGGCTGGCAGCAGCCACACAGTCGGAGTAAACACGACATATGCGCCAGATGCAGCCGTCACACACCATAGCCTGTGTTACGACCTCAGTTGTATATCCAGGGGAAAAGAGACAACAATTAATTAACCCGGTGTTAAAGATTGTTCTTTGATATGCTTTTATGAATTAATAAAAATTAACCTTGAGCGTTTTATTCCACGTGATTTGGAATTTTGTACTCACAGTGGTCATGGATGAGACTTGTCTTATCACCCCATATCCAACCCCACTGCTGAATTTTCCAAAGGAAATGCATCATCCAGCCAGGCAATGATAGTGTTTATAGAGAATAGAGATAGAGAACTTTGTTCTTGGAAGAAAATGCTTCATGTTCCATCACACTATTAACCAGTTACAAATTAGTATTGCAACTTACTGCGCTGGCTCCCAGCCTAGTAACCTTAATAATTTAAATAATAATGCTGTCCAAGCCTTTCAAAGTGCTGTTTTATCAATTTTTAGGCCACAAAGTCCCAATACTGGACAGAAGGCCTTAAGAAACAGATTAAAGACAAGGTCAGTGACTGACTAGATTTACGATGCAATCATGTTCAATGATGACTGAGGCCTTACATCTGCACTGTACCAGGAACAATCCAGAAATGCCAGAAAACCCTAACTTTTTGTAATGTGTTGGTTCAACAAAGACACTTATGTCTATAATAAATAATATAGTTTTGACTCTGTTGCACAAAATGACCACCCTGCACATGATGTGATTGTTCAAGCTCTTCATGGTCAGGCCCCTTCATATCTTAAAGAGCTCATAGTACCCTATTACCCCTCTAGAACACTATGTTCTCTGAATGCAGGGCTACTTGTGGTTCCTATAGTCTCTAAAAGTAGAACAGGAGCCAGAGCCTTCAGTTACCAAGCTCCTCTCCTGTGGAACCAGCTTCCAGTTTTGGTTCGGGAGGCAGACACCCTCTCCACATTCAAGAGTAGGCTTAAGACATTCCTCTTTGATAAAGCTTATAGTTAGGGCTGGATCAGGTGAGTCCTGAACCATCCCTTAGTTATGCTGCTATAGGCCTAGACTATCGGGGGATTTCCCATGGTGCACTGAGCTCCTCCCTTCCTCTCTCTTTATGCACTCATTCATGTCCCATTAATGCATGTTACTAACTCCACTTCTTCCCCAGAGTTCTTGTGCTTTCTCGTCTCGCAGGTTCTCATGGATCCTGGTGGAGCCTCCTGCCATGGTCCTGCTTGACTGCCATTGCCAATACTGTTGTTGCTGTGCACCTGTCTGTCTGTCTGTCTCTCGCTCTCTCTGCCTCTCCCTCTCGCTCTCTCTCTCTCTGCCTCTCTCTCTCTCTCTCTCTCTCTCTCTCTCTCTCTCTCTCTCTCTCTCTCTCTCTCACCCCAACTGGTCGAGACAGACGACCACCCACCTAGAGCCGGAGGATCTGTCCTAGGTTTCTGCCTTTTAACAGGCAGTTTTTCCTTGCCCTTGTCGCCAAGGTCTTGCTCATGGTGGTACTGTTGGGTCTCTGTAATTAATGTTAAAGAGTTCAGTCTAGACCTGCTCTATTTGAAAAGTGTCCTGAGATAACTTCTGTTATGAATTGGCGCTATACAAATAAAATTGAATTGAATTGAATTGAATTGAATTGAATTGGGTTACTGATTAGTATGACTCTGTTTTTATCTGCTGTTTTACTACTCTGCTGTCAGTGCATGAGTCAGGTCATATAGCAGAGACACTAGTGATTTATTGAAATGCTTTATTGATCATTAATATAAAAGCTGCCTCTCAAACCAGTGATGCCCCATTATTGTACCTCCTTTGAAACATTTGACCAACATCTTTGTTAGAAAATTATATTAAAAGGGTACAAAACAGTGCTGCACAGTGTCAGATTTATTTAAAAAACCCTTAAATGCTTGATTTTCCAATCCATCGCTAAATTCATGGCAAAGTTTTTGTACGGCATGTTTTTGGTTAGTTACAATTTAGTGAGAAACATGGCCTAGTGCTTCACTCAGGGTCTTTGTCATTCTTTGCGATAGCATTGAAAATGCTTGCATTGAAAATAAGAACATTGAGAGAGTTTATAGAACTTGCTTTTACCTTTTACTTTGCTTTTTTTTTTAACATATAGTATAATTATTTTAGGAATTATGCATGACTTTTTAAATTAACCTAATAAAAAAGGGTTAGGTTTAGGGTTCACATACCTCTTGCAGTTCTTTCAAGTACACCTGGGGGTGTCTGTACACCCACTGAAGAAACCCACATTAGAGTTCTGGAACTGTTCAGCATGTCTTGGATGCCGTTTTCCCCCCATGTGTTAAAATATATTTTATATTTACATTGACAAATTTTGTGTGTCTCAAATCTGGATAGGCGGTTTTCAGTTCAGTATTCCCCTCAAGTTTCATAAGATAAAAAACATGGTATCTTGAGATCCATCTGATAAAATAGCTGCAATTATGATACTGTACAGACGTCATATACTGTACTAATGCTGACATGCATTTAACAACAATAAAAATATGCATATAATAAAAATCATCATTAGTCAGGACCATCAGCTTTAAATGAAAACATGAACAGGGAGCACTTGTGCCATTTGAGCCAGCTGTAGTTTAGATAAGCCCTTATGAGGCAAGAACTGCTTCTGCAGCAGCACTGATAAGACAAGATCTTTTCTCCTCTCGTAAATGAACTGACTTCAGGGACTTTGGTGGCGGTTCACTGTGAAACTGTTCTGAAAAAACACAAAACCACATCGAATAGACTACACTGTCACACACACCATACGCAAATGTGAGTTATATAACTCTATTATCAATACAAGCATTAATGATTTATTTGTACACCAATGTGTTATCACAGCAGTATTTACTAATAACAAGGATTCTTAATGGTTAAGTTTAATGTTCTTCAGCTTATGACTACCAAAGAGAGATAAAGTAATTTAGATGTTCCAAACCTCACACTTCAGCATATTTATGTACAATGGATTTATGTGGGCTGAACATTTAAGGAGAGCCAGATATCATTGTTCAAATTATCTACATGTCCTTGGACTGTGCAGTTTCCATTACAAGAAGAGCTGGTAGTGGGAAACGCGCTTATTCACTTTCTTTTAATAAAGAGAGATGAGAGGATCAATCTCAATCTAATATCTGTGAGTAATTTACAAAGATAGAGGCATAAGGTGGTCAGCTGAGCGTAATTTAAAGACAGGAAGTTAGAGTAAACAGCTACTCAGGCGTTGTCCAATGTGAAATAAATCACACCTCTAAAGCTCACTAATTAATACTTTGCATCTTGTTTGTAATTGATCTAGCAACCTGTGCTATAGCAACAGAAGCAGGCTAAAGGCAAACCGCTGGTACTGTATATCATCTCTTTAAATTATAAATGTGCATTTTCATAATTTTCCCAAAGATGCTAATTTAGCTGGGCCTATCTGACAATTGGAAGTATTATAAATACGCATCGGACTCAGTGTTCAAGGTTTCTGTATGTAAACGGCCAGATGAATCTGTAGTTTTATACAGGTCTCACTGATATATGGACCATATGGTTCAGTTGCAGTCTTGCAATACACATAAACAACTGCATCAGCTCTTTGTGTGCAGAACCTTGGATCAGCTGAAACAAGTTAATGTGAGGCCACATTGTTCTTGTTCAGTACAAGGACACCGTTGAGCTGTGTTTCCATGGTAACAACCAAAGACACCTGATAACATATTACGAAAACACAGAAACGTAGCTTTGTTCACAATAACACATTAGAAATACATATATTTATTTTCTGTTTTTGCCTTTCCAGTAAAATCTCACTTTTAAATTGTTTGAATGGTTGCATATTGTCTCCTGCAGGGATCAGCTGAGTCAAAGTCATATCATGGCATAAACTGAATCCCATATCTCTTACAGATATATGTTGTCTCTATACCATATACAATAGCTTATCATCATCTGTCAGCTCAGGTCTGATGTAACTTATCTTATCCCTCTATGTACCTGCAATCTAGCAAACATACATACATATTTCCTTTCATGATACGTGATGAGGACTGATACCCTCCACAGAGGTGGTATGTATATAAGGAGCTCATACAACTCATACACATTGGTTCTTTCTAAGATCCCAAGGTAAGCTTGCACTGGAAATTTAGCAGGTTCGCTTCTTTTCCTCTCCTGTGTTTCCAGGAGCTACGTCAGTGTAGTCTGTCCAGATTTAGCTCCAAATTAGTGTGATTTGTTGTTGAAATCCAAAAAGACAAATGTATATACATTGTTTCTTGTAAGTTTGGAAAAATACTGCAGTTTAGGGAGATGTGAAAGTTAAACATTCACCTCGTCCAAACATGGTTATACTGGCTGGGCTGGGACCATTGTACAAGTTTAATTTATGTTATTACTACTATTATAAGTTGTGAAATGAATGAATGAAATCTGTATGGTTTAACTTTGATTGATAAAGAAAAAAAAGCTCTAAAGATGCCAGAGAAACTAAGATCGTTCAAAAGATATTGTTGAAGCACCAGGTCAAAGGTGGAGTTAGTCGTTCTTGAGAAATGTAATTGATAATTGAGACTCATTCAAAGCTTTGGCGTTAGTTTTAGACAATCTAGGAATGAGATTCAACAATCAACTATATTTTTCCACAATGACTGACCCCACCTTTAAAACTGTTTAATAGTAGTTATAGTCAAGTTATACCTTATAATAATAATAATTCCAATGAATATCATTTTATATCATTTTTGTTTTTGTTTTTTCCATTCCAAATTTGTTCATTCATTGTAGAAGAAAAGAAGTTGAAGTTGGTGTGAACTTTGAAATCAGGATGACCAAGTTCACTATTCTAGCAGGTAAGCAGTCATCAGGCCTCAGTGCTTTACATCACCGAGATGTCTTGATAACTTGATACATTAGGCCCTGTGTATTCATTGTGCCATACGTTTCTGCAATGTAAAGCTTTCATCTGTAATTTTGACCTCTCTTTAGGCTGGTGCCTGCTGATGTGCCAGCTGGGTGAGTTACACTTAAAAAACCTTTAGAAATTTGGCATGGTCATACAACCACTCTTTGAAGTGTGCATAGTGTCTGACAATAATAGATATTACAAAGAATACTGACCACAGATTTGCTTCCACTGACCTTCAGCAACTGCCTCCAAGATGGCGTGCTACTTCACCAACTGGTCCCAGTACAGACCTGGGACTGGGAAATACATGCCCCAAAATGTGGATCCCTTCCTCTGCACCCATCTGATTTATGCTTTCTCCATCATCAACAACAAAAATGAGCTGGTTACCTATGAATGGAATGACGAGACCTTGTACAAGACCTTCAATGGCCTGAAGAGCAAGTAAGAACTTGTCCTTCAATGGTATGAAATACTATATCTGTGTGTATATGACCATAATTGATATGTGAAGTTTGAAAATCCCAGTTGCACAAACTGTCTGTGTTCTGCACTATGCTTATCAAATTAACCATCTGTTTTAACCTTAGGAACCCCAGTCTGAAGACCTTACTGGCTGTTGGTGGATGGAACTTTGGCTCTGCTCAGTAAGTACTTTTCAGTTAGAAAACTGTGCAAATATGGAATGAAAGTTTAGTTTACAGAAAGAAAGAAAAGGATGATATGGCAAAAATTTAAACAAAGGTAGAAGCATGACATATGTCAAACTTTTCCAAAAGGTTCTCCATCGTGGTGTCCTCTTCAGCCAACCGTCAGACATTCATCCAGTCTTCTATCAAATTCCTGAGGACTCATGGCTTTGATGGTCTGGATCTGGACTGGGAGTACCCTGGATCTCGTGGAAGTCCACCACAGGACAAGAAGAGATTCAGTCTGCTCTGTAAGGTGGGCCATGAACTCTTAATCCATAGGGAACAGGTACACTGATTAGCCATAACCATGTGAGCACTGACAGGTGAAGTGAATAACACTGATTATCTGGTTATCATGGCTTCTGTCAGTGGGTGGTATATCAGGCAGCAAGTGAACATTTTGTCTTCAAAGTTGATGTTAGAAGCAGGAAAAATGGGCAGCGTGAGGATTTGAGCGACTTTGACAATATATATTGTATTATGTTTTAGAATATTTATTAAAGACAAGGGCCAAATTGTGATGGCTAGACAACTGGATCAGAGCATCTCCAAAACTGCAGCTCTTGTGGGGTATCAAAAGTGGTCCATGGAAGGAAAAGCAGTGAACCGGAGAAAGGCTCATTGATGCAAGTGGGGAGTGAAGGCTGGCCCGTGTGGTCTGATCCAGCAGACAAGCTACTGTGGCAGTTTGTTTTGTATGGGGCTGCATAACATTATTATGACCACCAGGGTGCCCAGGTGGTCATAATAATGTGCTGATCGGTATATATTGTATTATGTTTTAGAATATTTATCAATGTTCTTCATTTTCAGGAACTTGTTGAAGCATACGCAGCTGAGGCCAAGGCCACCGGAAGGCCTCAGCTCATGCTGACTGCTGCAGTGTCTGCTGGAAAGGGAACCATTGATGCTGGATATGAGATTGCTGAGATTGCCAAGTACTGAAGATTTTTTAGGAAATACTAGTATTTTAAATCAGACTTTGTTTTTGATGAAAGGTTGGCTCAGTAACTTGTTTTACTCAGTATTCTAAATGCATTTTCAGGCACCTGGACTTCATCAATGTGATGACCTATGACTTCCACGGAGCTTGGGAGCGATTCACTGGACATAACAGCCCACTGTACCGTGGCTCACACGACAGCGGTGACCTCATCTACTTCAACACTGTAAGAGATGTAGTGGTGCTATAGAGCATTAAACACTGATGGATGAAATTATCATTTACAGGTCAATTTACTACTTATGGGAAATACTACTCAGCTACAACTACAATTTAGTCTTCTGTGACTTTAGAGAAGCTTTGTCAAAAATAACCCAGATGATGCCATAGTAAAGTCATTTTACAGATCGCCTGTATTAGCATCTGTTCAGACCACATTAAACATTTGGAGTATTTCGACCAAAAATAAATTGGTTCAAAACCTGAAAAGTTCCCAGCTGGAACAAACTATAGCAGGTTTTACTTGGGAACCAAAGCGTGTCATATTCTACCGGTCGTTTTGCATTGTGTAACACTCTGTCAATGATGCATCCTTAATTCTGATGGTTCCACTTAAAATTAGTGGAAATGCTGGCTGGGTCACAAGATAGAACCAAGTTTCCAAGAGTTTTGAATGGAACCGGTTCAAGAACCAGAGCTAATTTGGTGGAAAAATACTATGATAGGCCATTTCCACCAACAGGCAGCTAATTTCGAACCATTTGGAGCATTTCAACAAAAAAATAAATTGGTTCAGAACCTGAAAAGTTGGTTCCCTAATGGATATATGGCTGTTTTTTTCTTGGGAACCAAAGTGTATATGTCATATACTACAGGTTGTTGTGCATTGTCCAACATCCTCTGTTGATGATACATCCTTAATTATGATGGTTCTGCATAAAACTGGTGGAAACCCAGTCTGGTTTACTAGATAGAACCATGGTTCCAAGAGTCTTGAAAGGAACCGGTTCAAGAACCAGAGCTAATTTGGTGGAAAAACTGTTTTTCTTTATGCATGCTACTGATTCAGTTCAAAATATGTCTGCTTTTAGCAGGCAGTGAAATGTAGCAATACAAGTGGTTGCATTATGGGAAATGTAGGTTCCAGCTTTTTGGGGGGCTTGATGTATATAAAAGGGACTAATAGTCAAGATATCTCAGTATGCTTCAACTCTCACAAGTCTCCTAACTTCATGGAAGTGCAATACCAAATCTCCAAACTACTTTTTTGATTCCCAACAAGCACTATCAGTTCCTACTGTGTGCATAAAGAAATCTAGGCATTGTGTCTATATACTTTATCTTTCCATTTCTATTTCAGGACTTTGCCATGAAGTACTGGAGAGACAAGGGCACCCCAGTGGAGAAGCTGAACATGGGTTTTGCTGCTTATGGTCGTACCTTCCGCCTGACGTCATCAAACACTGGTGCTGGAGCCCCAGCTAGCGGAGCTGCATCGGCTGGTCCCTACACACGTGAAGCTGGCTTCTGGTCTTACTATGAAGTAAAGTCTGAACAAAATGAAATGCATACTAAATGGACAACAGAACAATCCAATGACATTTCTATAATCTGGTCTTTCAGATCTGCACCTTCCTGAAGGGCACCACCATTCAGTGGATTGATGACCAGAAAGTTCCCTATGCCACCAAAAACAGTGAGTGGGTGGGATTTGACACCAGGGAGAGCTATGAGATCAAGGTAAGTGGAACACTGATACACAAGGATTACAGATTGAGGGATGGTCTGTAGAAATTCAAGAGGTAGGATTTAATCTTCTTTACTTTGTGGTTGACTCATCTTTTCCTTCAATACACAGGTCCAGTACATGAATGACATGAAGTATGGTGGTGCCTTTGTGTGGGCCTTGGATCTGGATGACTTCAAAGGAGAGTTCTGTGGAGAAGGAAGCCATCCTCTGCTGTCCCATCTGCGCAAACTCATCAATGGCGGTAAGTCTTGCTTCTAATCATTTTTATGAGCCAATATATTCCCAGCTTGTCAAAACACAATTAATGAAGCTAGTAGGTGCAACGTTAAGTTCTTGGCAGGTTTTTGTGAAGCAGTATGGTGCTAGTGCTTTTGTTTTAGTGTTTTCTTTCTGTTTCCACCTTTTACAGGTGTGCCCCCAGTCCCATCGACCTCAACTGCAGTACCAGCAACTACCGCAACCACCAAACCTGTTGCTACCACTACTGCACCAGCCTTCACAACCACCAAACCTGCTGCTACCACTACTGCACCAGCCTTCACAACCACCAAACCCAGTGGCACCACCAATGCTCCGTCCACCAAGACCACTATCCCTGTCCCAGGACGGGGCTTCTGCAAAGACAAGGTCGACGGCATCTACGCCAACCCAGATGACAACACCAGCTTCTATGTATGTGCAGGCGGACGAACCTACCCGAGGGTGTGTGGAGCTGGCACTGTCTTCAACGACAGCTGCAAGTGCTGCGTGTGGCCCTAAGTGTTAACAAGTCGGGGACTGTCACTGGCTGACATCTCAGTACAGACTTTGCAAGCTAATGCCTCTTGGAAAATACCTGTTTTATGCTTTTTGACTATAAAAAGCTGTAACATTAGAGAAAGCTTGTAAATTAGAAGTGAAAAGTAAAACATCTAAATATGTATGTTCAATCACAATAAAAGTTATGACAAATCGAACATTTGTTTGACAAATAATTAAAAGCAAAATTGTATTCTTACCTCACCAAACACATTTCTATATGTTGCTTAAGAAAAATAGATGATTGATATTCTAAATGCAATTTGTGGGGGTTCAAACTGGAGACCCAGGACACCCTGTCCAGGTTTGGAAATGCAACCACTGTGGCAAAGTTGACTCCACATCATCTGGTGATTGCATGATGTGATGAAAAGTGTTGAAGACCTAAATAGGCATAGAGTCTACCAAGTGGGATGATCTCCATTTTGTAGTGTCTTTACAAGCCAACTGAGGATGCAACTGAGATGGTCCACCACAGAATCACGCCCCGTTTGGGTGAAGGCCCTCTAATTGTATGTATATGCTTTTGCAGGAGCGTGTGTAGTAGTTGTGTGCTTTCTCTTGGTTTGTGTAATCAATATCGCACAAACCCACACTTTTTGGCTCCAATCAGCTGTTTTTTCTGGTAACAACATGCCACCATGTTTCTGTATAATATGACGACAGCAAATTGTGTACCCTGGCAAGATTTTCGGCTAATTTTCGAGTTGTTCTTCAGATTATTTCCACACCACATTAAAGCAGGCTAATACTATCACTGTTTGACGTGGCATAGATTAGATAGGCTCCAAAACTGGAAAATACATTCACCATGAAATAGTCTGTGCAGAATTGTAGACTAAGGATATAGCATGGCCCTTTTGTATCAGTCACGGTGGGAATTGTTTGTGTTTGTTTCTAGCAATGCTTTTATTTCTGCCTGAAGACCTTTGTATTTATATTCTGGCAAGTGATAGGGTTGCACCAACACCTCATTATCTGTGTGACACCGCATGATGTTTGTGCCAAAGAGATAGAGGCAGGATATCACTTGCCTGCCAGAATGTGATCATGTGATCATCATATTCTGCATTCCCCTTCACCATATCATACATGCCCTTCGGGACTTTCTACCCAACTTGGAACTAGAAATTGGGAGCAACAAAAACACCTTCAGATCATTGCTATTATGGCTGTGTAAAGATTTTTGCTTCCAAACACAACTTTGCCACTTTATTAATTGTTTTCAACCAATAATCCATTAAGTTTTAAGCTTCTTTTAAAGGTAATGCAAAGGCAGTATTAATTTGATTTAACATTAATATTCACCATACAAAGGCTGCTACGATAGTTTTCTATGGAAATAAGCACAGCATGAACACATACCCATACAGAAAACCCATTTTGTTTCCGGGCATTGCAATTAGTCAAGCTCCTCCATCAAAGGCTTTGGTCAGTTCATTGTAACTTTTTTGTTAGGTAAGGTTGGGAGGATTTGGAAACTGCAGGCAGTGGTTACTGTAGGTGAATGGACAGATGGAGATGCATACAATAATTGCTTACAACACCTGCACAGTCAGAGGGTAGCAAACACATACCCTCAAATTGGTAAATGCAATTTTATACAACAGCTGGTGTTGTTGCAGCTGCATGGCAATATTGCACTTCAGGGTGATGCAGCTGCACTCTGCCTTCTTGTGTGCTGAGTTTCTGCATCTGATAGGAAGAGATAGTCAATTTGTTGGCGTGAGATAGTTCTCTGGTTCAGAAGACCATTTAAAATTTAGAAAATTACACAGTGATATTGTTATAGTATCCCTGTTTATATGCTGTGTCCAAAAGTTGAATAATTATGATATAGAATATTATTATTATTATTATTATTATTATTATTATGATCAGAGTCCTTTTGTGTCACTTGGCTTTTGCTTCCTCCCATATCGTTTATTGAAACACTCAATAGATGAGCTGGGCTCAAACTTAACCAATCACTTTATATGTTGAAGATATAATCTGTAAGCTTACTGTTATAACCTTAGATGGTTAATAATGCATGCACACTTTGAACGGTTAACAGACTTTACTTAACGTCTGCAACAGCACTCATACACAGGTAGAATCACTCAGGTAACAGCACATGTCAACAGGGCAGGGTACACCTCTCAACGTCCCTGGGGGTACCTGGGATAATTAATAAAGGTTCCAGGGTGCACTACCCTTAAACACAGCGACAGTTTCAGTCTGTGACACCAAATTAAAAGGCCTAAAAATGCTAGAACTATATTATATATATTATGTAATATTACATATGTATTTGAGTTGTGTACTTACATTATCCCAACGATTTCTAACAATGTTCAAACTCAGAGAAATCTGTGATTTTTAGGGTGGAACTGCTTTATTCAATTATTTTTACCAATTTTAATCAATTTGTTTTGGAGAGGAGGAGACCTCTGTGGATAACTGGACTCCTGGTAGAAACCTCCTGAATGATGAACACTAAAGGAATCCTTACTGGGAGAAGCTGACTGCAATGACGGTAATCACAATATCTTAAAGTGAGGATTAGTTTGCTTTTATATTTTTAGTATTTCCTATTGTAATGAATCTCACATGTGCAGGTTAATCCGAAAAGTAGCCACTTCATTAGCTGTTGGTTTTACACATTTCATACCTGAAAGAGTGTTCTTGTACACACATACAAAAGTAATGTATACATTCACTGTTCCTCACTAAAAATGCATTGTGTGTATGTATTCTTCTTTGCTGTTTCTGTTGGCACATGCAGCACAGTATATCTTGGCATGTTACCACCCCCTGTTTATTAGTGGAATAGTGTGACGTTTAATATACAATATGGGAATCCTCTCATAGAAAACATGGTCCTGGACTTTGAGTGCTGGGTTTAACTCAAGGTCAGACAAAGCGTGGTCAGGGGCAGTTTATCACTATTGGTTCTTGTAACTTTATTTGGCAGGTTGTCATAACATTATAATAACAATTTAATTTCATAACCTTGTAGACTAGGGTCATTTGTGACTAAATCAAACCACCCTGTGTTGTCCCAAAATGCCCCAGCCCACTCCACTCATATCTCCCAAGTTAGTTGAGGATTATTGTGGAGCAGAAAAACAGGCTGCCAGCAGTGGAACATCTTGATGGTCAATGGTCACAGGCGGCGTGTTCACACAGGATAGAGATAACGTAATCAAGGCTGTTAATCCTTATCAATTTATTTACCTATTTATTTCATAATGCATCTCCGTTTATGTACATCTGTTTGGATTATTATGAAGTCAGTCAAAACATATTAGGTGTCATATTGTGAATATTTTCTTCAGTTTTACTTAATCTCTCTTGTTCAGTTGCAGTTTATCACTACCTCCTGCTATAAGACTATAAATACGTGAACTTTACACTGGCTGTACATTTTTTAATTTTTTAGTGAAATAAAACTTTGAAATGACGTTATTAAATATAATAATAAATAAAATATACATTTATACAAAGTTCTTATTTTGTTATTGATTAATTTAGGTGACAATCTATTAACGTATTACTTTATTTGCACAGCCTTTGTTCAATACAATTAACATTCCTGGTGACATAGAAAATGCATTTCATGTAAACACAAAATCCCTAGTTTGATTGCTGTCAAGAACCATTATGGATGCCTTTTCTCTCTCTCTTCCAATGTTTCCTGAGTGCATCACTATCAATGATGGCAAAATAGCAAAAATATTAAAAAGTTGCTAATTTTTACACATTTCTTTTTCATTTAAAATTGATAAAACAGAACAAACGAATGTTAGAATACCCCTCACCTTCCAAGCGTGTAGGAGAAGCATGTAGGAGATGGCTGCAAAACTCACAAAAAATGCTAAAGGTTCTATCTATTTGGTTTGTCTGTTCTGGGTTACTCTAGGAACATGGCGGTCCAACGTGGTAGACTGGCCTATAGAAGAAGACCCGCTCCCTCTAAACATAAAATCAGCTCATTCTAAGGTAACGAAAACACAACAATTATACACTAATTAAAATATATCTATGAATATTTTATTTTATTTCTGCCAATAGAGCCTCCTAAATCTTGCAAACTGGACCTTTAAATCAGTTTCATGTTTAATTGTATGATTAATCACTTATTCAAAAAATAATGACAACCATGTAGTGATGTATTGGTTTTATTAGCTAAATAAACAATAAACTTGTTTCAGTTCAGTAAAAAGTGACCATGACAACAGTAACAATGAGATGCATATCCAAACAAAGGCAAAATATCAGGACTATGACCCACTGTATTCTATGGTCCTTTGGCTGATTAATGATATGATAATGTGTGATATGTCCACTGACGTAAATTACAACTGATCCATGTGCTGTGTGCATGCTGTGAACAGAGTACTGCACCGACTATATGATTGTCTACATGTAGGACTTTGCAGGGTCTTATCGAAACATGTTCTAATAATCATTACATTTATTGCCCCAGTTTATCAAAGACTGCTACCCCTCCTACTTTTTCTGTGCACACTAAACTGTATAAAAGGCCAAGATGCTGTCGTTTAGGTCTTACATTCATTCCCAAGGTGAGTTTACACAGGATAACAACTCTTCTAAGTAATCTTGAGAATGGTAGTTTTATGTTTTTGTTTCATTCATGAGCCCTTGTTCACTTTTTGTCTTATAGTTGTGAGAAGTGGATTTAAGATGACCAGGCTCACAATTCTAGCAGGTATTTATCTTTTATTACTCTTTTATATTTTTTTATATTTTAGAATGTGTGCTTTTATTTCTCTAAACCTTTTCTTTCTATATTCCTTAGGCTTATGTCTGGTGATATGCCAGCTGGGTAAGTCATAGTGCATTCTGCGATCTACTAGCATTTGATTTGGATTTTTGCCTTTTGGAAAATAACAGGAACCAACAATTCTTTAATGTTTCTTTACTCCAACACAGGATCTGCCACCCAGATGGCGTGTTACTTCACTAACTGGTCCCAGTACAGACCTGGTGAGGGGAAGTACCTGCCACAAGATGTGGACCCCTTCCTGTGCACCACCCTGATCTATGCCTTCTCCATCCTCAACAGTAACAATGAGCTGGTGACCTACGAGTGGAATGATGACGTCCTCTACAAGTCTTTCAATGCCCTGAAGACCAAGTAAGTGGCCAGAGTTGAGATACCCTTATAACAGTAGAGGTCAAAGGTCAGGCTAAGCTCCAGAAGCTCTGGAGCCAGTAGAAGTTGAGTTCCTTGCATAAGGATCCTTCAGCAAGGTAATGCTTTATGAACTAGAGATCTTGCTAAAATAAGTTGTTGTCTTCGGTGAAATTTTAATGCATTACTTGAGCTAACCCATACATTGTTCTAGTAACCTGCTACAATGTATGTAGCAAGCAATTACAAGCTTGAACAAAGTGTGTTAAAATGTTATATAGTCTACTCTCTTTGCTTTTTCCAGGAATCCCCATCTGAAGACTCTGCTTGCTGTTGGTGGATGGAATTTTGGCTCAAGACAGTGAGTAACATTTTCAACCATAAACACAATGTATTACATACCTATACAGAAATACAGAGGGCTTGTAGTTATGTTATCAAAGTTACATTCACTACATTCTTGAGACATCCTAAAAGTCCTAACTGTGACAAAATGCAGGCTAAATATGGTAGTTTTTGTTTTTTGGTAGCTAGCCAACTGGCCAGCAGGCAATTTTAACTGATGTTATCTTTACAGTACTTTCACTTTCTTTGCTGTTTAGAACAAATCAACAACACATAGCCAAAGAGATGTCACGAATAAATGACAAAATATCCAATAAAAACCATCAACCATCACCAATATTAATCGTGAATGACTTTAAAACTATGGTCACTGGTTTCCCCAAATCAAAGGGCGAATAAAAGCCTACTTTGGTAAGAGGGTTTTTTTTCGATTATAACGTTGATAACAGAGCTCAATTTTCCCTGCAGGTTCTCCATCATGGTGTCCACTCCAGCCAACCGTCAGACATTCATCCAGTCTTCTATCAAATTCCTGAGAACTCATGGATTTGATGGTCTGGATCTGGACTGGGAGTACCCTGGTGCTCGTGGAAGCCCTCCAGAGGACAAACAGAGGTTCACTCTGCTCTGCAGGGTGGGTACAGATGTCTCTAGTCTCTAGTTTCTAGCTGCAATTCACAGCTAATGTTCTGTGATTTACACAATGTTTACTTTCTTACTTGCACATTGGTGTGTATTTGCAGGAGCTTGTTGCTGCCTATGCAGCTGAGGCCAAGTCCACTGGCAATAATCAACTCATGCTGACTGCTGCAGTGGCTGCTGGAAAGGGAACCATCGATAGTGGATATGAGATTGCTGAGATTGCCAAGTGAGTGGACGGCATTTCTACCTCTTAAAAAGGGGGAAAACTGGGAGTTCTGCAGAGGTTTTTTAACTGTTTGTGTTTCTCCAGGGAACTGGACTTCATCAATGTGATGACCTATGACTTTCATGGAACTTGGGAGCAGTTCACTGGACACAACAGCCCACTGTTCCGTGGATCTGAGGACTTTGGTGACCTCATCTACTTTAACACTGTGAGTAGACATTGGGGACTGAAGGAAACTGAACTTGAGGGGTTCCTTTTTAAAAAGTTTTGATTCACGTCTTCCATCAACTTTTGTAGGACTACGCCATGAAGTACTGGAGAGACAACGGCACCCCAGTGGAGAAGCTGCACGTGGGATTCGCTTCTTATGGTCGTACCTTCCGTCTGACATCATCAAACACTGGTGTTGGAGCCCCAGCTAGCGGTGCTGCATCAGCCGGACCATACACACGTGAAGCTGGCTTCTGGTCCTACTATGAGGTGCAGTTTAAATAAGGGTGATGTAAACCCACTATTATATGATGTACAGATGTATATATGAATTTTATTGGCATTTAAAGGCATGTGTGAAAACAATTTGAAATAGTAAAGCTATGTACAAACCTTATGATATTGTCTATGGTCTAGATCTGCGGCTTTTTGAAAGGCACCACCATTCATTGGATTGAGGACCAGAAAGTTCCCTATGCCTTCAAGAATAATGAGTGGGTGGGATTCGACAACCGGGAGAGCTATGAGACGAAGGTAAGTGGCACATCTGCTCTGTATTTGATCACAGTCACAGCATGTCCAAAGTATTTCAGAATCAGACATACTTTAATAATCCCGTGGGATTTACAACCATTTCTATCTATTTTTGCCCCAATAGGTGCGCTACATGCAGGAGCAAAAGTTCGGTGGTGCCTTTGTGTGGGCCCTCGATTTGGATGACTTTGCTGGACGATTCTGTGGAGAGGGCAGTCACCCTTTGCTGTCTCATCTCCGCAAACTGCTTAATATTGGTAAGTCCATGGCATTTATATGCAGATGTTTTCCTTTAAAGTTAGTGGGCTATGGTAAAGACAGATAGTAATGCTGGTGGTCTGGTGAGTGATAATTATCACCCCTAGTTCTCTTTTACTCCGTCAGTGCTAACTGGCTATCATATAAAACATTTCTGTGAGTTTAATTTTATATTCTAATCATTTAAATGTACTACAAGGAGTTTTCAACCATCAAGGCCAACGGTGAGAAGACTCACCTTTTCTATTATTCTTAATGCCTGCCACTGGTTCAGATTGTGTTGGATTCCCATGAACCAGCTGAAAACAGGAACTGCTAGAATCACGACAAAATTAAAGTTTCTTTTAGGTCTGATTAAAATCTGCATCAGGTATATTTCTTCATACTACGAGCTACTATAGCCATTTACCCTATAAAAAATTACCAACATGCATGTTCAAAATGGTATTTTGCTCATAGTGTGTTGAGAATGTTATAATCAGCCTCACCCTCTTAGTAATAAAGTGATGTACAGTGTTTTCTGGATAAATCATAGTCAAGTTATAGACAAGCATTAATGGACATTTATTTATCTGCTTCACACCCCTCCTTCTCCTTCTACCATTCAGAGCTCCCTCCACTGCCCCCTACCACCACACCCAAACCTGGTGCTAGCACCACCTCGCCTCCAACCACCACCACCACCGCCACCACCCACGCCCCAGGATCTGGCTTCTGCAACGGCAAACCTGACGGCCTGTACCCCCACCAAGATGACAGGGCCAGCTTCTACATGTGCGCTGGCGGCATCACCCACGTGAGGCAATGCGGTAGTGGATCTGTCTTTGATGACAGCTGCAAGTGCTGCGTTTGGCCCTAGAGCCATGAGTTGAGACAATGTGTGTTATGATGCAAATGTCATCTATTAAACAGACTGTTAAAGTTCTCTTGTATCCACTGTGTATACGTTCATTTATCTAAATGAATCTATCATTACTGTTGTATCGATACAATGTATTCTCATGTTTAAAATGTAACATAGATTGTAGATAACAACATTTAAGTACTTTGGTAGAAATTGTTGAGTACTGGCTTGTCATTTCAATATACTTCAATTTACTTCTTTTTCCATACTTTGTTCCATAAACCTATACACTTCTACAAACTTTAAGTGTAGAGCTGGGCATTATTTTTTCAGCACTGGTGTAAGTATGATGAGTTTTTGTACCAAAACAAAAACAATACTTTTAAAATACCTTACTTTGCTGAGTTTAATCTCATATGTTCAAATATTTAACAATCAAAATAAGCTTCCAAAATGCAGTGTTTATCATAAGACAAATAGTTGTGCAGGAACCTCATACAGATAAAATGAACCCAGAATAAGTAAATACGCTAACAATGTGACATCATTTCGTCCCAGCTTTAAAAACCTACCGTACAGAGGTTCAAGAAAACAATGTCAAGAAACAATGAATACACAGTGTGCATATCATGACATCACTGAGAAATATTTTTTGGAATGAATCCAGGCTCTTACATAAAATGCTCATCTGTCAACTGTTGTCACTGAATGATTGTTTTGTTATTAGGAGATAAGACTCAGACCACTGGCAGTTATGACTCAAGACTCCAGGGGTTCCGAAGCTTTTTCATGTCAAGGACCCCCAGTTTGACAGAGTTTTGTCATAAGGAATCCCCTCTGAGTAGTGTTTTCATTCTAGGTTTGAAGATAATAGTCAAAGTCTTCACAGTCAATCAATAACTGGGATCACTAAATTACAATCAATCAAAACAACCAACCCTATTTCTTCCCTTGCTGTCCCAAATTTTTTTTTATTAAAGTTAAAACATTATATTTCTCTTTTTCCTGGGGACCCCTTACAGCCCACTCAAGGACCCTGATGGTCCAGACAACACCACTGCTCCTGACAACACTATAATCCCGATACTGATTCTGCATTCCAAAGAAAAACTGTTTTTATGGATCATCTCAAGTCTGAAAACATGTATATGTCTGCTTCCCCCTGTGATGCTACCCTCCAAAACATAATAATACAAACTGCCAAAATGATGCATCACTATACTCAACCCTGTGGGGAAGAAATCACTTCAGACAAAGAGGAAATAACTTGATATATAACATAACAAATAGAGCATTACACTGTCATCAGAAAACTGCAGATAAGAAAGGTGAGAGGGGGCAGGGCTCATGTATTAACTTTCTTGCACTTCTTTTGAGTTGAGTCCAGAATACAGAGAATTTGGTAAGGAGAGTTGCGCACGCAGGGAACATTGTATACTCATTTACAGTATGAAAGTGATTCCGCAGACTTTAGCCAGTGAAATTTCCAGAGCCCATAGATAATAAAAATGTCAGTGTTATTGATAAGTGTTACATTTTATTGTCTAAATTAGTTACTAGTGTACCAAGGGTCACTGTATTACTGACCACATGATGCCTACAGGCTATTTTTTCAGTGTGGAAGTTATTTTTCTTCATCACATGGATCTGTGAAGGACTTCAACTGCAACCTTGTAGAGAGAGAGGACATTTAAAGTAATATTTGGCTACCAAAAATGCTTTTAGTATCAAACAGAATGAGGGCGCAGAAAGAGGCTTATCTTGCTCCTTCACAGAGGAACAGCTTTAGTCAACTCGACTTCACAGCAGTTAAAATGGAGTTCAATATCTATCTGGACTCTAAATAAGGATCAAAATGTTCATTTAAACTTGTATGTTCCAGACACTTCTTTTGTGTGTTTGGCGAATTGAGGACTATTTGGAAAATAGTGAACATATAGAGCAACTGGGAGAAATGGATTACACTGCAGAACTACCGTAAAAGTTCAACTAAAAGCAGGTTCCCAATTAGAGGCAGGTCTCCTTTTGTAGCCTGGTGTGGCTACATGTTTTGACAAAAAAAAGCAGTAAATTCTAAGCTCACCTAAACAAATATAAAGGTTTAAACTTTTGTCAGTAAGGACATGCTACACATCATTAGATCAGTTAGATTCTCCACAATTCAATCATTAAGTTCATTTTACAGAAATATTCATACTGGTTTAGATTAACAATTTGATAATATTTTTCCGCAAGAGTATTGTGCAAAAGGAATTGAAAGCCTGTCCCATGGTCCCAGGCCTGTTCTAAATAAAGGCAGGTTGAGTTCAATGATTTGAGCAAATAAAATCCTGGGCTATTAATGGCAGTTTTATAGCAGTCTGAGATGTTTCTATGGAAGTTTTGATGCATTTTTTGCAGTTTCTGCCCTTTGAACTTTGTAGAGCCACCATTCAACCATTCAGTATTTGATACTCAAAAGATAGCTCTTCTGGAGAATATTCTGTTAGGTTTGCCTTGAGATTCAGAAAGAAACATGTAAGACCATTGATGTCCAGACCAATTTGTGAAGGCAGTGAGAGACCCTTGGCCCCATGGGTTTATACTTGATGCAAGGGCTCATAGAGTTTTGATCGGAAACTTTGGAGAAACTTCAGTGGACGCACAAAAAACTCAAAAACCCCTACCTACAGCCAGTGTTTGGTTTGTCCATTCTGGGCTACTGTAGAAATGCCCTACTTTACATTACTACATTACTGCTGTGGAAGCACTTTTCTGATTAATCAATGTGACAAAGGTCAATGGAAACTAGTCATCTGAGGTTATCAGAACATACTGTAAATAGTGGTTGCAAACATTAGTAAAATATAAACAGAACTGATAAAAGGTACAATAAATTAACAGTGAATGAACTGAAACCCAGCCCTCTGATGCAACACACTGAAAGAGCTTATAGCCATCTGGTGAAGGTCCAAAAGTACAGGAGACTTATATGTGGATTCAGGTTTCATAATTTTCTGGTTTCTTATAAATCAAGACATCCACATCCAGGTTTTGTTAGTCTTTCCACAGTCTATCCAACAATCACCAACTCTGGTTTGGTCTTAATTCATTGAGTTAGAGGTTAAAATATTTGTGAAAAGGGCTGCAATGCGTGGGTGGAGGTGAGGCAGGCTGAATGAAGCCTGGTTACTGAAAACAGCCACCTGTGACTGCATCCATCTGTCACTTAAATTAATTATGCATAACTTTAAGCCTTAATATAATTTAAATGAATGAGTTCTATAAAAAGGCACCCCCTGTACAGTTGTCATGAACAGGGAAAATAAGCTACAGAGACCAAAAGTGTATTTTTTTTACCAGGTTTATTTCTGCTGTAAAGTTGGACATTTTAATATGGGGCCTTATGGAGATTGCTCACTGCATTCATTGGTTTCCATTCATTTTCACATGATAAACTTGTGTAACATAAACTAAAAAATTTAAATTGAATTGATAATGCTTTTCAAATCAGTTTGCACTTAAACTCCATTGACTCACAATGATAATGATGCATTTTGACAAATATCATTGTGGACCTCATGTTGATTGAGATGAGTGACATAAGTCAAGAAAGTTTCAAGTGTCAGCTACTGGAGTTTCACACCATACGTACAGTAATGGAAACAATTGCAGCCAGAAAAAAAGCAAAAATGCATTAAAAAATATAAAAGTTTAAAGAATGGATTCCAAATGGTCAGCAAAAATGTTACCTGATGTACTGAGGTGTTAAAACCTGCAAACACTAATGAGCTTAAGTGGTAAGCTGAATGCAAAGATTTAAACAAAAATATTCTACCAACGTAGCAGAGAACATCTTGCATAATTATTAAACCCCAGCAATGTGAGCAGTGTTACAGCCCATATGAGGGGATTTACCAGAGCGCAGCACACAACAGAGGCTGTGGAAGCCATTCATTTCAAGTGAAAGCTGAATCCCAGATTGAACCTGCTCAGGTGTCACTCAAACACTTCAGATGACATCATTGCAGAAGATTTAAATTGTACTTTGCCATTTTGACATAAATGATGCAGGGACAGAGAAGTTTTATGTCACAGAAATTTCTGTCAAAATTCAAACAACAATTTCGTATTTGGAAGCTGAAATTGACAAAGTATCCGATCAGAACAACAACTCCACTGCCCTCAGCATTTTAGCCTTGAGGTAAAAGCATAACACAGAATGACATGTCCTTTGTCCCCCCAGCCTGTGCCTGTCAAGCACTGTCAGCAACAACATATCATAGTTACACTGATATAAAAAGATGCAGGGACGGTTTGGAGTTGAGTTTCAAATATGGGTCTCATGTTAAACATGCTTCAGGTGAAAGTCTGAAGATGGGTCACTCTAAACTGTACAATGAATATATAGGCGTCCTGATCTATTAAATGTGAACTAATCACAAAAAGTCTCAGTGGCTGGATCATTCGTTAGAGGTGAGCAACAGGAATTAATTATACATTCTGCATTCATTCATACATTGAATTACCATGAGTCAAGCATTAATTAAGAATGGCCCAAGTATATGATTAGTACCTTTATTGTAAAGTGTTCCAAAACACAAAACTTTGTATTTTAATTAAAACAGAAAAGAGCACTATCACACCAAACACAGTGGCCACTGGCTCGTAAAATAGTACTTTTAGTTTCTAATACCACTGTATTAAAGGATACTTTAAGGATAAGCAAGCTGAATACCTCCACCACTGCATGCAACTCATAGTAATATGATCTGTAAGACTGGAGTGACGTTACTCTGTGCATACATTTTCTACTTTTTTGTCTCTGCCCCACAGTGTGATGTTCCACACAACTGGGAAGAGAGCACAAACAGCTAAGATGAATGCAGCAATAGCAATTTTAATTGGTAAGAAATTCCATGTGGTACTCCTGTATTTCTCTCATTTCGCTGTCAGTTAATTCAACTGTAATAACATGTGAATGGTGTCTCTTGCAGTGGCTCTGCAGTTCCTCATTCAGACTGGTAAGCAATACATTTTAAGAACAGGAATAGCAGATCATGTTTTAATTCAACTACATGCAAAGCTAATGTTTTTTTTCCTTGATCCAGCAACCACAGCCAAACTGGTATGTTATTTTAGCAACTGGTCGCGGTACAGAACTGGTGTGGGGAAATTCCTGCCAGAGAACATGGACCCCTTCCTTTGCACCCACCTGGTTTATGCCTTCGCTGTCATCAACCATGCCAATGAGATCACTGAGTATGAGTGGAATGAGAAAATCCTGTACAAAAACTTCACTGAGCTCAAGAACAGGTAAGGATTGATCAGCTGAAATGTTGTATACTGGAGTGTACACTGGGATTTTCATGTTCTTTTTGTGTCTGTTCACACACAGAAACACCAAGCTGAAGACTTTACTGTCGGTCCTAGAGGACAGCGATGGGCCTCAGTGAGTGGATTACCTATTGTTAACTCCTTATGAAACTCCTCCACCTGCTGACAGAAAGCAATAATGGCATGGAAGAATTTTATTTGACTGTTTTGTCAAGTTGGTTGTTTGGCTGTGAAGAATGAGTACTGACTGAGTATTTGTTAAGTCAGTGTAGGTAACTTTTGAAATGTAAATTTAAAAAAAAAAATGTAAATCTAATAAGGCATATCATTCCATGGAGTCTTTTGCAAACACACATTACTAGCATGAAGTAGTGGTGGAATACTAGTAGTAGTACTAGCAGTAGTAGTAGTAACAGTTGAGTTTTTGTATCCTTTTTGGCAAAGTGCCTATACAATGTTAAACCAGATAAGTTAATTTAACTAAAAATTTGAAACTGATTACATACATTTTTTAAAGTAAAACTAACAAAAAAATGCCTAGTAAAAGGTTATTAATAAGGAATGTTGCTGCAACTTACAAAACTATGTGCCACTTACAGAGAATTATCAGCTCTTTCCAGAGCTTTATAGAGTTTCAGCTCATTGTTTAGCTGTCCGGGCCACAACTTTACTGTTCTGCTTCCCTCTCTGCTCTCATACTGTAGTTTTCAGCTGCAGCAGGCAGGGGTTTCAGTGAAATTGCTCTAAAATCAGCAGACGGACACAGTTAGAGACTAGCTGGTGAACATAGTGGAACATTTTGCAGCTAAAGAAACAGAAACAGTTTGTTTTATCCAAAAAGATCTACTTGCAGTCATCAGGTGGACACCAACCCAACTACAATTGAAGGCTAATGTTGCTCCGTAACTGCTGAAAAAAAAGTTTGCCATATCAAGGCTTCAAGGTTATTTTATTGTAATTTACAAAGCAAGGTTGTAGAATTAAATTTGGATATAGTTCCCTTTATGCTATTTTTTAAATAATCCCGTCTCTGTAGTCTGGTGGTACAGCAGCAGAAGCTTCTGTATCTCTTCCCAGAGTGCAGCAGGGTGAACAGACTGTGGCTGGGTGGGTGCTGTCTTTAAGGATCATTTGGGCTCTGCAGGTATCTCACCTCACCAATATCACTGATGCTGGGAAGCTGAGTAACAATGATCTACTGGGAGGTTTTAATCACCTGCTGCAGAGTCCTCCTGTCCTGAGCCGTGTACATCCCATGATGCCAGTTTCTGATGTTTCCAGTCAGGATGCTTTCTATCACTCCTTTGTAAACATTAACAAGAACTTGGCACGGGAATGTTGCTTTCTTTAAGAAATACATTTGTTTATACTATGTCAGTGTTTTTTGTCATTGCACAAGAACAACCAGAGTCAATTAATTGTTTCTGCTGTCCAAAATGTGGCAACAAAAAATAAAAACTCATTATTTTAATAATCAGACTATTTTAATAATTAACAAAATAATAAACAAGTTTTAAAATGTTAAAATGTTCCAAATGGTTGAGTCGGCTTTCAGAAGTCTTTATGGAGTCAAACCATTTTAGAGAACCAGCAACTTTGTCATCATCTACTGCAGGTTCTCCCTTATGGTGTCCACTCCAGCCAACCGTCAGACATTCATCCAGTCTTCTATCAAATTCCTGAGGTCTCATGGATTTGATGGTCTGGATCTAGACTGGGAGCACCCTGGAGCTGGTGGAAGCCCTGCAGAGGACAAGCAGAGGTTCACTCTGCTGTGCAAGGTACACTGACTGGAGACCAGGGGTGAAAAACATAAAAAAAAAGGGATCCAGCTGAATGTGGTGGGGCACCAGAGTGCAGAAAGTCATGGTGCATTGAATTGTCCTTTTATGAATGTCAGATTTAAAGTATTTACTACACCTTAATAAAAACATGCACACAGAGGACAACTCATTTTCAAGAGACCTGCTTATTATAGACCTGCTATTAGACCTATTTGTTTAAATTCCTGTTCTGCTTTCTGTCCCTAGGATTTTTCTATTCTTTTCATTTTAACCTGCTTTCATACCCCTATTCACTTATCACAAAACAGTGTCTTATTTCTGTGCTTGAATGTAATCATCAGTCCAAAAGTTTTACATATGAGATGCTCAAGCTGAGGTTTGCTGCCCTAACTCCTTTTGTTTATGGACTTTTGATTAATTATACTTTAGGTAAATGGACACCGTGTTGCTTCTTGTGAATGAAAACCTTGACGGTTCAGTGTCAACATCCAAGACAATGCACTGTAACTGTGGGACACTGTAACTAAATCTATACTTAGTTAGATTTAGTTACACTTTACTATATCACAAGTATAGTGGGCTCCTGGTCTTTGGACCCCACAAATATAGTAAAACAAGCCTACACATCACACACACATTTAACAGTTCCGGTACATTAGATATGATGTCCAGTGTGATGCGTTATCTTATTATTTTCATGTCCAGTCCTGCAAGACTAGTACTGGACTGAACTGGATACCTGTAGCTGCCTGGAAGGAGGGAGAAAATCAAAAGTGGTTTGCAGTAATATAAAATATAATATGATTTGTTGTTCTGAGGCACATTTCAGATTACTGACTAAAGTGTAAATGGATTTCTATTGATCTCTAGGAGCTTTCAGAGGCCTATAGAGCTGAGAGTCAAGGACGAAGTAACACACGACTGATGCTGTCTGCAGCCGTGGCAGCACAGGTAGACGTGGTTGATGCAGGATATGAACTCTCTGAGATGTCAAAGTAAGACTTTTGCTTGTATCAGCTCCAGTCTGTGTACTTTTAACCTGTAGATGCATGAGTGACTGGACCCTACACTCTTCCATAAGTGGGTCAAAAATGACCCGTATTAGAATCAATGTGTTTTTATACCATTTTTGTCATTTTAGTTCAGAATAATCATTGGTATTATACTTTGTATTATATTTTGGTCCACACAAGAATGATTACACGCATGAAATATTTTTATTTTTCACTTTCACATTTTGAAAACATTTTGAAAACTGTCAACATTACAAAATTACACAACAGCAATAAGAACAATGTCAGTATCCATTTTGAGTGTGTGTGTGTGTGTGTGTGTGTGTGTGTGTGTGTGTGTATTTCAGGTTCTAGTAAAATCCCATAACTGCCTCTTCATCCAGCATCTGTAGGACCATTTCAACTGTATACCTAGCAGCCATGACACCTTGGATGAGAAAACATAAAAGGAAGAGAAGGTTTTGAATGACAAGCAAACCTATTGATCAATAATTAGCAATATAAATAAATACATACAAACACACACACACACACACGACACAGTACATACAGTAATGATAGCTAGTTGGTTAGGTAGCTAGTTTTGAAATCAATAAAAGAGACAATTCTCATGATAGATGATAAGAAACACCCATTTACAGAATATGAATGACCACACACACACACACACACACACACACACACACACAAGGGTACAGTTTTTGAGCCCACTTTAAAGTAGGCTAAGCTTGTTGAGTAGATAATAATAACACACACTCTTTCACACAGTAGTCATGAATGACAAGTACACACATTTCTGGTAGAAGACAATCTTACATGTATAGATCTTGCTGTGTAAAATAATCTTCCTAAGGGGTAAGTTATGATATAGTTTTTTTATAAAGATTTAAATGGCATTATATCAATAATCATGTTTTTGTTTGTAGGAATACTACAATTTGGAAAAATGTAAAAAAGTAAAATGTAAATGGCATATAACAATAACTTCCTTCATTATAAAGAATTTGATATTGCAAGAAAACGACCTCACCGGGTCATTTTAGACCCACTTATGCATCTAAGGGCATTAATATCGCCTCTTTCTGTGGTCTATGGTGTGATTCTGTGTGTGTTTAGGTACCTGGACTTCATCAGTGTTAGGACGTTTGACCTTCATGGTGATCAAGATCGAGTGACCGCCCACCACAGTCCAATCTACAGCGAAAACAATGCTAACATAGTAATTACCCATTTTTAACGCACAGTACCAGTCAAATATTTAAAGGTCCAGTGGGTATTTTTGTAATGTTTGGATCAAATAGTCTAAACATAACTGATTCCAGATCAGTGATTGTGTGCTGCTAAAGTTAATTTTATGACTTGATCATAAGACAGTTCCAGATCTAGGCATTTCTAGATATCACACAACCATGGTATAACAACTACAACCCAAGGAAGCAAATTGGTTTGATAGAAATTCTTCTCTTCCCTTTTTTGTCCTGTCAGGATTATGTTATGCAGCACTTGATGGAGCGAGGAGCCCCAGCAGGGAAGTTGTTGCTAGGTTGTCCCACTCATGTCCGTTCCTTTACACTCTCCACCACAGCAACAGGCCTGGGAGCTCCCGTCAGTAGGCCTGCCAGTCCTGGGCCCTACACACAGCAGATTGGTGTCTGGTCTTACTATGAGGTAACAAGAACATATTTACGTAGCTGCATTAAGCAGAAGTCTACTTTACCACTGCCACTAAGCAGTTTCATTATAGAATGCCTGATAGTCACTGGTATATCCAGTAAACAGGTTTGCCATAGTACTGAATATTCTCAGCTAATGTTCTGCTAATGGACTTGTCTGAGTCATACAAACCAGTCTGTAGGATTTAGTGGAATCTAGTGGTATTATTGCTGACTCCAATGCTGTCACCCTCCCCCTCCATTTAACTAGGTGCCCTTTAAGCTGTATGTCTGTATTAGCTTAAGTTAAGTGTAATGTCTTGTTTGTGTTCTAGTACGTATAGTGTATGTACAGAGATTTGTGGTGTAATATGTAACTTTTGTCCTGTCTTTTATGTATATTTTTTTGAAACTTTTTGCCGCCAGTCTTGGCCAGGACTCCCTGGGAGAAGAGTAACTGTAACTCAATGGGACTTTTCCTGGTTAAATAAAGGTCAAATGAATAAAAAATAAAATTTGAAGTGTGTAGGAGAAACTATGGTTGCCACCAAACTCACTATAAACGCAAAAGACCGTATCTAGAGCCAGCTTTTGGTTTGAATGTTATGGACTACTGTAGAAACATGGTGGTTCAACATGCCGGACTCCATAGAAGAGAACCCGCTCCATGTATAGATAAAAACAGTTAATTCTGAGGTAACTTAAACTACGATTAGGTTATTATACACTAAAGAAAACATATTATTATTAATATTATATTCCATTTCTGACAATAGATCCGCCAAAATGTTACACACTGGACTTTTTGTGAGTTTCACAGCGACTCTAGTTTGTCCTTCACGCTTCACAGCCCATTCTCATTCCCAGGTCTGCAACTTCACCGCTAAGTGTCACTAAATTCTACTCCCTTAGTGTTACAGGAGTCCCAAAACCCCAAAAATGAGCTTGCATTTTAGCACCTATGGTTTCCCCACCACAAAGTCAATAGGTTTTTTGAATGGGTTATTGGTTAGATGCTTAAAATAAGGTCTCTGGTTGAAAAAAACTTAAGAGACCTTCACCTTTTATTCTATGACGTAAGAAGGAACCAGGATGATGCTTACTTCTGGGTTGACCTACAAAAATACACCATCCGTGCAGCAATCTATGAAGCTTGGTATATGGACTGCTACATTCTTAATTCTTATGTGATGACATTCAAGTGTAATGATTTCTGTAGCTAGTTTTACTTCTTCTCATGTGTAGTCATATAAAATGTTAAATCATTTTTTAAATTATTGTTTAATTCAGAAGAAGAGAGGTAATGAGTGCTGCCTGCTTGGTCTGGCTTCGCTCTAGTCAGGCTTCCTCCTCATTGCCCAAAGTAGGAGTTGAAACCTGTAGGTGGTGTCATTTAGGTGGATACATTCATATATTTCTGCTGTCTGCAAAGCTAACATATATGCCACTGCTTGCATTAACTTTTTCCCAAAAAACGGACAAGAAAATTAAAAACAAATGCATGAGGCATGGCAAATGAGCATTAGTGACTATTCTGAGATGGTGGAAGAAGATGTCATCTCTAAGGTTGGTTCTGGGAGGTTGTATTGAGGCTTCGGCAGAGGAAGACTGAGTGTGGGGGTTATGTCTCTGGTGTGTTTTATGTTCATTCAAGTAGCTTAAGTAATTTTAAGTGACAATGACCTAATTTTGCAATTTTTATGTGTACTGTGAAAACAAAAAACCTTGTAAAAAGTTATTAATCAGGATTGTTTCTGTAACTTACAAAACTAAACTAGTGACACTAACAAGTAAAAGCGGCTCAATAAAGAGTCTTCTTTCACCTTAAAAACATTTTGTTTGTATTACTCAAAGATTTTGATGTAATCAGTTTCAAGGTTTTTTTTAAATTAAATTAACTCATCTGGTGTCACAGTGTATGCTGACAGAAACTGCAATGTTTCTTTACCAGACCTGCTCCTTCTTGAAAGGCACCTCAGTTGAGTGGATTAATGACCAGAAAGTTCCCTACGCCGTCAAAAGCAATCAGTGGGTCGGCTTTGATAACCAGAGGAGCTATGATGCCAAGGTACAGTATATGGCTTTGGTATGGAAAAGAACAGATAATTCAACAAGTCTTTCCACATGTGAGCTTTGTCTTACAGGTGGAGTATCTGAAGAGCAGGAAGCTGGGAGGAGTTGCTGTGTGGACACTGGATATGGATGACTTCTCTGGACAGTTCTGTGAGCAGGGCAAATATCCACTGATATCACATCTAAAACGGAAACTCAGTGAAGGTGAGGCCACACTAACATAAACCTTTCTTTACTGCAGGGATGTTAACTGAGTTTGCAAACACACCGACGTTTTAAGACACAGTGGCCTCAATTTAAAATCCAATTTAAAAGGTCCATGTACTGCACTTTTATGCAGTGTGTCACCCAACGTTTCCTATGGATTTGTCATAAACTGGATATTATTTAACACAATCTTTTTCATGCACTTGTAAGAATATTTAAGAATATTATTACAATATATTTTCATACAATTAAACTGTTAATGTTTAGGTTGGTTTTGTCAAGTGTGTCACTACTACTGTTCAGTGCACTCAAAATAATTACTCCTTAATCAGAGCTCCTATTACTGTTCTACTTATTGGGCCTTTTTAAATTGATTTGTAAGGCATACTGGCGGTATGTGTTTAGGACATAATGGAAACTATGAAAATCAAAAAGGGAAGACACATCAATAAGTTAGTTGAAATATACATTTCAAAAGAAAGTAAAGAAAAACCTTGCTTCTTTTCTCTAAACTGAATTTCATGTGTAAAATTGGTGGGATCTTCCTTTAAAATACATTTGTCTCTGTAAAACATAATTGTAAGATTCACTTACAGTGCTTTTCAATATTTTGTCCCAGACTGGGCATTGCAGGAAACAACTCCTGCTGTACCTCTCCCCACAACCTCTGTCTCTCCTTCTGAAAGCACACAACCCACACAGGAGCAACTCACCACAGCGAAGCCAGACAATGGCTGCTTCCACAACATCACCATAGTGTATCCTGTCAGCAGCTTCTGCACACGAAGAGGTGACGGACTGTATGTCAGATCAGACAATCCGAAGACACTCTACAGATGTGTGCAGAGGAAGACATACGTCACAAAGTGCCACACCGTTGGGACAGAGCATAGCAGCGCAGTGACCACTACACCATCGAAGAATTTACCTATAGTCAGCTTTGTATTAGCCACTCTTTTCCATTTGTTCAGTGTGTGGAGTAACAGGTGATCTAGCTTTGTACAGACCTAAGTTTACAGTAAGTAAAGCTCCTGGCTTACTGTTAAAGAAAAAAAATTATGTAAGGATGTTAACCTTTTAAATCTTCCAATCACACCCAATGAGGCAAAAAACATTGTCAAATAAGTATTTTCATATAACTCAATAACAATAAGAGTTTAGACCCATACAGTTACTGTCATGCATTGTCCGAATGACACAGTGTCCAGTGTATAACATTTATGAAGCTCTATTGGCAGAAATGGAATATAATATGCATAACTATGTTTTGATTCACCTGAATATGGAATCATTGTGTTTTTGTTACCTCAGAATGAGTCTATTATACTGTATATACAGATGACACAGAACCGCCATATTTCTACAGTGGCACAGAAAAGACAAATCAAATACTAGCTTTAGATATGGGCGTTAACATAATTAATGTTTTTTGCTTTGTGGCCACCATAGTTTCTAAATGGAGGGTAAAGTGATGGAGTTGCGATGTGCAACTGAACCGTGTGGTTTAGTGAAGTGAATAACACTGATATAACACTGCCTTTATCTTTATGCCATCTGTTACATTTCTTTGTCTTTTCAACATAAATTAGCCTAGCACATGGCATATCTAATCACAGGAAAGCAAAGTTGAAAGGTCATTTGACAAAATTGGACAGGTCACAGAACAAAAGGGGGCGGGACTTTGGAAAGGTCAATTTCAATTTAAAAAGACAAACAAACCAAAAACTTTTTTACCTGGTATGCTTGTGTTTATTTTAACTTATTAAAGTGTAAACCTGCTGTCAGTGTTAATTTAACACTGAATCAAATGCCAATGTGTAATGTGAGAGCTATGGCTATGTGGCCTAGTACAACACAAACCAGCACAGCTTTAGCCTCTTTTAGCTCATTGTTTTGATCTTACAGTATATTGCCTGTGTGGTTCTGGTCATTATGTATGGTTTATACTGTTTACTGTAAACTTATTTTGATGGTTTTTACTGGTAATGGTATCCAGTTGGCTGAACGATATTACTTAACCTTTATGGTAAGTGTACCAGCCTGATCAGTAAGAAAACCAACATAGAGCAGCTGTCAGCTGATATTTATGATGATTATTGTTACTGTTGTTGGAGAGATAATATTTGCATTTTGTAAATAAAGTCTAGAGGTAGGCAAACAGTAACCACATTAAATGTTATGTCAGCAACAGCTTTACAGTCACTCTGTTGTAAATAATGAAAACAACTCTTCTGCTATAATAACAGTCATGGGACTTTAATTGGATATTTTTGGGTGATTGTTTTCTGATACACTTGTAAATTCAACTCTTACTTATTTGGGTAAAATATTCAAGGATTCAAGGATATTTTATTTTTTATTTTAAAAGAATAAGGTTGTACTAGAATGACATTTCGATATAGTTCCTTAATGCCACCTCCAAAAAACAAAATTAACAAAAATGTATCATTATGTTATAAAACGTAAATTAAAAAAAATGATTCAAAATAAAAAAGAATGGCTCTGATTTTATTTTAGGGTGGATTTTTCCTTTAACTTGATTACGTTCCATGAACCGCACAGAAACGCCTTAATGCTTTCTGGGAAATGAAGTCAGCCAGAAAGCTCTTTAATAGACACTGTGCACTCCATTTCCCACAAATCCTACAGGTATACTTCCTGTTAGATTACACGTAGCGTCACCGCTGTGTGCTGTTGCTAGAGTAGGAAGATATCAACAAACGACGACTTTTCCCGCTTCCTTTAAAGAATGTAACGTTACGGTTAATATTCTCTCCGGTTTAACGTCAGTGCTCTGGATTATAATGACGCCACAGACGCGCGTGCTGCTGCGTTTGGCCTCATATGTAGGCTAAGCTAAGTCATCAAGCTAATATTGGCAAGCGGGTTAGCAAGCCCTTTTGTTGTTTACAGTTTCTTCCAAGATGTATACTTTATTATCCGGATTATATAAGTACATGTTCCAGAAGGACGAATACTGCGTTTTGATCCTGGGACTGGACAACGCCGGGAAAACGGTAAATGAAGCCATTAAACGTTCCTCATTTGAAATGAATACATCTGAGTTAACGCTAACTCTTTGGACAGTGTCGTTTTATTTTCGGTGTTGTTCTGCCGTCAACGTTGTTTGGCTGTTATCTGTCCGTCTCGTTTTCTCTTAATACGGTAGAGTACCGATCAGTAGAGACCCGGCCGGGTCAAGCTAGCCGCCGTTTGGGTTTTGTTGCTCGTCTATTCGCGGAAACGGTAAGTAACCGGTGCCTGGAGCGGCCAAATGGACGTGTATACTTCTGCAAAGTTCCCTGCGATCAATGGTCACATTTCACAAACCTAATGAAAGGATATTTTAGAACACATCACTTGTTTAAAGTGTGTGTCAACATAAACGTCCTAAAGTGTAAAAGAAGAAATTCCAGTTCATATAACTTAACGTTAATACTCCAGGTGAACTGAAGACCCTTTAAGATTACATCCTCAGTCATATTGTACCCCTATATAACAAAGTATACCAAATAAAATACAAAAACACCATTTCTTTATATTTTTATATCAAAATCCAATCATTTTGTCTTCCTATGAAACAAAATGTAACACTCACGTGATTATGTAAGCATGAACTAAGCAATAGATGAGACCCCATCGAGACCCCGACCCTTCTTGGGTAAAAGCAGCCCGTCTTATGTGACTGGCAGTAAAAGTTCATTCTGAGGTCTTTGTCAATTGTATTGCTTTTTAGCTATTAGAAATAGGGGGGAAATAGGGGTTGATGAGTGTCCTTTCAGTCTGTCTTCATCAAAGTGGATGGACCTGACATACAACTACCTTATTGAATCTCATATTTCTGACATCTGACACTGTTTCTGTCCTTAAGACACTTTATTTTTCTGTTTTGGGCGTCTGTCCAATGTGACGTTATTGTAACTAATTCCATCATTTTGGTGAAGTGGAACCACTGTTTCTGTTTATTAATTTACTACGAGCTCACAGACGCAAAAAATCATGTAGATTTTATCTCCACTTCCTACGTTACTTTATGCTGTTTACAAGATTCACTATTAGAAGGAAGGTCAACTCAGTTTATGTGGATTACTAAGGTTAAAATAGCTTTTAAAAGTGGGTGTTTTATGGTAGGGCCATATTTTTTCACAGTAAAAACTTTATTTTCAACCATCATGCAGACTCTTTTTGGATTCTCTTCAATCTACAGACCCAATCAACATACGTCATTTACTCAGTAACATCCTTAACTAACCTGTGATGAAGTGTGAACATAGACGTACACATATTGACCATCTGGGTCCCACAGTTGACCATTTTTATCCTATTTGTGGACATATTTGTTGTCACTTGTTGTTGCACATCTTTATCAGTGATTTTGGGGAAACTGGATCATATCTGATGGGCAGAAGTCCATTGGGATTCTCAACAAACCAATTAAGGAAACTGTTTTATCAGAGTAAAAAAATGAGGGAATTTCCCTTGCATTACAAAATATATTTACAGTGGAGGTGAAATTTATATTTACATAATGAAAACTAATCCAACTGTGTACTCACTGTACATTTTAGGAAGCCTGCAGACACCATTTGTACACATTAAGACCTTTCTCTTATTTCATCAGATAACATGTGGCCTACTATTCATTTAATATTTTCCTTGTATAACAAGTCTTGAGTGAGAGTCGTCATACGTCCTTTTTGGCCACTCCCAGCACCAGTAACTGCATTAGTAGACGCACAAGAAATCCACTGGGTTTAACTGGGTTATTTGCAAACAACTGCTCACTTGACCACAGTGTCAGAGTGCAAACCAAACGTAACTTAAATTAAATCTTTTTTGGCAAAGGGAAATGTTCTCCTACTATGCTTTAGCATGGTTAAGGGACACTGTCCAGTTTGGCACACATTCAATACCAATACAGCACATACAGCCCAATTAGTAATAATAATAACCAGCTATAATAATGTTCAAAACGTCAACTTTAAGAAGTAGAATATGCTTATATAGCAGTAAAATGTACATAAAACATTTGTAGTATGTCCTTAATGCTTTATCCACAGAAATGAACTAGTACTAACTTATCCATTTGGAATATTTAAGCTACAGCAATGCATTATATTTTATAAACTTATTTCATTATTTAAATAAATCTTAATCTGCAAGGTAATGACTAATATACAGCCGTTAAAACATTTTTGTGAAGTTAGAAGTCTAAAATTAGCCTCTGAAATGTAGTGGAGGCAGGGCTCAACAATAAGGATTCCCATTTGCCTGGAGCAGGAAAATTGCTTACTTGGGCTATCTAGCAACTCCCTTCCCTCATTGGGCCAAGTGGTAAAAAAATATTAATTAGATTAGATTTTTCTGGAGCTGATGATGGAAATAGTGAAGGAGTGAGCCATCTCTCTTCTTTTTTTTCATGTCCATTGAGAGTTGAGTGGTAAATACGTAAAGCGTGCATTTCAATTATCCTGGACTTTATCCTGGAGTTTAGCTGTGTGGTGCTAGAGGATATGGGTGATAAAATGAAGTCATTTTTTAAGGGCTGTTTTTTGGAAAACTGCTAATAAATACAATACAATTAGTACTGGGGCAAGTAAAAATGAACTTCGGGCCAGTAGCTTTGTGGCCTGGGCAAGTAAAAACATTTTTTTACGTAGAATGGAATGGACAGAATGTCAGAAATACTCGGGTTAATACCTGAAACTTAACCCAGGAGAGTTCTTACTGATTTTCTTACAGGTTAAATACCATTGCATTGCAAACTAACAAACGCGCAGTCATGAAGTGTCACCTGTATGTGTATATATACCCTGTCATGTGACTCAATGAGCACGAATGTGTCTAGCTTGACTTGTCTGTTAATTTCTCTGTTGTCTCTCTTTTCAGACCTTTCTGGAACAAACCAAAACAAAGTTCAGTAAGAACTATAAGGGAATGAATTTATCAAAGATCACAACCACAGTTGGCCTGAACAGTGAGTGGATGCTCCAGTATGTCTTCACTTGTGCTTGTCATGAACAGTAATGGGCTTGTTAGTCTGGACGAGGGCTGTGTATTGGCAAGAATCTGGCAATACAAATCACAGTGCAGGGGTTATGATTCAATATTTTGGGATTCTGTAAGCATGGTGCTATTTTCTATTTAATTCTAGGAAGATTAAAAAGTCAGTTAATTGGGTTATTTCCAGTGGCTAACTACAATAATTACAAGGGAACATCATAAAATTGCAAAGCTGCTTTCTGAAGCCAGCTCATTCTCATTCCATTTCACTCCCACACTCTGTGCTCTTAGAATAGTAGGGTCTTGTTCCTCTGGTCTCTTTATAACATTTCTGATTGATTTCTCACTTTCCTTCACAGTCGGTACAATCGATGTGGGCAAGGCTCGTCTAATGTTCTGGGATCTGGGGGGTCAGGAGGAGCTCCAGTCTCTGTGGGACAAAGTAAGTTAAAAATGTAAATATCCTGAGTGGAATTCTTCACCAGCCTCACACTGACACACTCTGTGTGTTCAGCAGAGCGGAAGATGATCCTATTTCTGAGACAAAATTACTTTACACATATAAATGTTTTTTTAAATATCCTGTTTTTCCCACAAAACCCCCCAAAACCAGAAAATAATTTTTTAGTGGGGGGGGGGGGCGGGGGGGGGGGGGGGGGGAAAATTCATGGCATCAGAGGAATGTTCAATGCACATTAAAAGCGAGATGTTAGTGGTGTGAAAGCACTACTGAAGTGCTCTGTCCGTTCAGTCCACTTCATTGACTCAGACCTCTGTTAGGCCGTCTCAGATTTGTGGAGATTGGCTTAGGGCACCAGAAGAAAAGAAAAATATTCTTTTGAACAATTGACATATATAAAGATGGAGGACATGATAGCTCTCCAAAAGTGAAGCCAAAACATCTCCATTGCCCTCTGGTGGCTGACTGCAGTATAGGTCATAAAGGCAGCTGCAAGTACATGTCAAATAGAGTTGGCCAGCTGTATGGTACTTTGTTACCGCGGCACCAACACTGATCGCTACTGCGTAGACCCTGGCTCAGAATGCTGAAACATGGCAGCAGTTGATCTGGAATATTATGGCTTCGTTTTTGTACAGTGGGAGGAAGTGGAGACACAACATCCATCTTTTATGTGTTCATGGTTTGAACAAAAGTAAGGGGGGCCCCGATGTGATGAACGTCATGCTCATAACACGCACATGTAATAAAATGGAAGCATATCTCACTCTGAGCATTCAGTGCCCTACTACTAGCAACCAGGACTGAGGGAGATGGATCCAAATGGACTCAGGTGTCTGTTCTTACAATATTATGACTTAATTCTTATAATATCATGTCTATATTGTCAACTTAAAATATTATGATGCTTTAATCTATTGTCTTATATTATGGTATGGCCCTAACACTTTATGCTTTTCTTCAGCTGTTGTACCAAAAGCTGTCTGAAGGTATCATTGTCGTATTGATCAAGTGCAGTCAGTCAGCTGTGATGCTGTTGGTTGTTTCAGCCCGGGAGCCTGCTCTGAAGTCCTGTCTGTATTCTTCATGTTTATATTTAGTACTACGCCGAGTCCCACGGAGTCATCTATGTGATCGATTCAACTGATGAAGAGCGTCTGTCGGAATCAAAGGAGGCCTTTGGTGAGTGCCACACTGCAACCCTCCACTCTGTAATGTGGATGTACCTGTGTTTAAAACAGCCCTTAAAGGATAGGTTCACTGTTGTTCAAGGCTCTTCAAGATTCAATAATTAATACTTTGCCATTTTAACATTGACTTTAACTGGTTTGGTGGGCTCACAGAATAAGAACCCCACCTCATGCAAAAAATTGAGACGTTTCCTGTCTTGCGATGACATTTCCAGGTCACACACTTATTCCAAAGTGGAGGACAAATCTATCACAATAACACTGTTCCTATGATATGTAAAACTTGTCTCAATAAGAAGAGTCTTCAGCACCCATTTTAAATAAGGGGTTACACCCAAGAATTTGTAGTACTGTTTTGTTGTTTTTAAAGGTCCAGTGTGTAGGATTTAGTGGCATCTAGCAGTGAAGTTGCAGATTTCAACTAACTGAACACCACTTGTGTTTGTATTTAATAAGCTAAGAATGTAGGAGAAACTACAGTGGCTGCAAAATTCGCAAAAATCACATGGCCCTCTTTACAGCCAGTGTTTGGTTTTCCATTCTGGGCTACAGTAGAATGGTTGAACATGGCAGACTCTGTGGAGGGTGACCCGTGGCATCTGTAGATAAAAACGGCTCATTCTAAGGTAACCAAAACAGGATTCCTATATTAAGGTGATTATACACTAATAGGATGGATTACCTATCAATATTATATTCCATTTCTGACGATAGATCCTCCTAAATGTTACACACTGGACCTATCCTTTAAATTGTTTCTGAAATGGCCTGTGACTTTATTCCACTAAAACAATGATATAACGGTTTATGCATGCTTTGACATTGAAACAAAAACAGTAGCATCAATGTTTTAATGCTGATTACTTTTTCAGTGTATTCAAGTCAACTTTCTCACATGATAACATGAAAGGCTTGGTTGTCTGTTTTGAGAAAAGTGTCAGTAACATAACAAACAGTCTTTCTCAGAAGATATTTGAGTGAATATTCTGTGGTGATAGTTGTTGAATCAATGATTGAACTCTCGTCTCCTCCAGAGAATATGATCAGCAGCGAGGCGTTAGAAGGTGTCCCTCTCCTCGTGCTGGCCAACAAGCAGGATGTACCGGTACTGTATGATCTTTTCAACTCAACTAAGACTTAAGTATTTAGTTTCAGCCCTAAAACCCTCCATAGGCCTGAGCCCCCCCTAATAAGACAAAGTATATTGGAGATAGTAACTGCTGTGGTCTTGTGGTCTTTGACTGTATGGTCTTTGCTGTCTTGTGTCTGCTCTCTTTTCAGAACTGTTTGTCAGTGCCAGATATTAAAACAGCCTTCAGTGACTCTGCCCCGAAGATTGGCAAGAGAGATTGTTTAGTCCAGCCCTGCACCGCCCTCACAGGGTAAGACTGCTACTGAGTGTGTACAACAACAGCAGCCTGTCACATATTATCCAGTACCACAGTTCTAGTTTATTTGCCAGCCACGTGAACCCAGAAATGTTTAGTACCAAATTTTATGTTATTTAGTTGTTGCCGTCACTGCAGTCAGCTTCTCCCAGTTAGGATTCTTTCAGTGTTCATCATTCAGGAGGTTTATTCTGCCATTTTAAAATGCTTTGACACAGGGATGGAGTGAACGAGGGCATTGAGTGGATGGTGAAGTGCGTGGTCCGAAACATCCACAGGCCTCCCAGACAGAAGGACATCACGTAAGAAGTCATCAGCACCCTTGATACCTCTTTGAACCGCAAGTTTCTCCTCGGGACATTCCACATCAACCCTGGAGCTGATAACTCTCCTCTCTCCTCGTGTTTGCTGTGACTTTGAACACTTTGAATTTCTGCTTTCAGAAGTTCATTACAGACACAGTGCGACAATACTTTTTATCACTAAGCATAATTTGCTTTGAATGGACTTCTGTCTGTTCCACTTTTGAAAGCGGTGTTGTGATTTCTTCTACTTTATGTGTAAGCAGCAGCCCCAGTCTCTGAACTGTGTGTCTGCATGGAGCTTCGCTGACTGACACCCTGCTCTGCGATCGCAAGAGCACAGAAACCGCTTAACTACACAATTCTTAGCCCACATTTTTAAAGTTAAAGTGAAATTTGAACTTTCCTAAATTTTTGTGTAAGCTAATATTAAAGCCCCTACAAGGAACGTTCATTTTATTTTTGATTCTGGTGGCCCCTGTGGACAAAAGCAGTAATGTTTGTACTGCCTTGTTTGATTGATTTCAAGAAAAATTCGACCGAATTCCGATTCCCACAAGAACTTACTTAAGTTGATGTTATTTCACCACCTGCTGAGTCACTGTCAAACTCCGGCACACCCAGTGCTGTGTGTAGCTGGGATTAGCTGTCTCTCCTCCAGCTGTGGTAATGAATGACCAGAATTGAAAATTTCAGGGTTCCCACTCACCCTGGCAAACCTGGAAGTCCAGGCATGGAAACACCTGGAAATGTATAAAGCTAACCACATTATCCTGGAAATCTATGTTGTCCATGAAAATTTAGATTTTACTTTAGCCTGTGCTGTGGTCAAATTAATGTTACCGTTAGAGGAAAACTGTAGACGGTTCGGAGAGCATAAAAATCATCTGTGATGGGAACAGCCAAGCACACCATGAACGCGAGCTAACGCTGAGTATCCCTTAAATCCCTTTATGAGCAAGTTCTGTCCTGTGTTGTTCAGAAAAAAACCCTGGGAAATGTTCTGGAAAGGCCCTGGAAAACAATTTCTTAAAAAGAGTGGAAACCCTGAAATCACAGTGGCATTTGTTTGCTGTATCCTCAGCACTTGTGCCATAACAGTGCGGTATCTGTAATTTGAATCACAACACACTTTGAGTAGGGATTGTTCAATCAAAGATTGTACTTGACAAATGCCTGCACTGAACTGAAGTGATAAAACTCTGAATGTGGTGTAAACCCATCAAATTACAGCAACGGCATCATCAGAAACCAAACAGTCACACCTCCTGGGCAATACCAGTGGTTCTGTGACTGCAGACAGATAAAAGAAGAATAAGAAATGTGGTAATTACTATTTTGGTAAACACATCAACACACTAAGTCTTTCTAAGCAAAAATGTATTTTAATTTTAGTTTAACTTTAAGGTTTGAACTTCACACAGTTGCCAGGATTCCTTACTTTGCTTACTCTACTTGCTGTTGACGTGTTCTTGCCCTTAAAAAACGTGACTTGTATTACTCTGTATTCATCATGTTTTTGACTTCACATGACTACCATAGGACAAATTCATGATGGATAAATGAGAACAAATAACTTTTTTAAAAATTTTTTTGAAAGGTTAGACTCACAACTTTGACTTTGAGGAGTTTTCTTGTGGCAGCTGTGTACTGTGGACAGTTCAGATCCTAATAATGTGTATTGCATTGCATTGTGTATGCATTATTTGGCTCACAGCAGAGGGCAACTCAATGGGGCTCCATGCAGACTCTGGTGCAGTATCCCAAACAGCACCACACTTTACAGACTTTTGTGAGTAGTACACATACTATTCAACAGCCACTAATTGTTGTTTTAGAGGTTTCTTTTTGTTACCAGTTTATCCTTTGACCTCTGTAAAACAGCCATAGTTTGGTCAAAACTGAAACTGGAAATGTTGATATTCATAACTGGGTCAGATGGAGATCCTACAGCTGCTTGGGGAACTGGACAGTGTGTCCTGAACACACTGAGAAAACTTACTGCCCCCTGCTGAATCACCAGTAGTTGGGGCATATGAGGTGGTTAAAATAAGGTGACACCCCCTGTCAGTCACATATGTGGTAGATGATGATGATGATGATGATAATAAAGTTCTGATTTTAAAGAAAACATCTGTTTCAATCTCAGTCTCTCTGTCTGTGAAGGCTCATTATGTTAGATGCTGTTTTTGTTTTTAGTGTGCAGGATTGGCATCTAGAGTTTCAGAACTCAGTGGCTTCACCCTGCCTTTCCAAACGGGACAGCATAACTACGGTGGCTGTGAATGTCACGAAAAACATGAACGACCCTGTCTAGAGATCCAGGAGGCTCAACATGGGAGCTGCCACTGAGGCGACCGATGGCATTTATAGATAAAAACAGCTCATTCCATTTATATTTTTAGTCTATTTTCATACACTAATGAAAACAGCTCTGCCAATAGGTCCTCCTAAATGTTGCACACTGCACCTTTAACTGCAACTGAGTTTAAATGTAAACTTTCATTATTGGACCAAAAAGCACAAATGTCATGCACAACTGTTAAGTCATTTTGTGTTGTTTTAATGCCTTAATTAATGATGCTAGTTGGTGATTATATACAGTAAATGCACATCATTATCTCATATATTATTTAAAGGACCAGTGTGTAGGATTCAGTAGCATCTAACAGTGTAGTTGCAGATCTCAATTCACTTGCTATACCATCCCCCTCCAAACGCAAAGGAGAAACTATGGTGGCCGCTACATGCTCGAAAAACTAGACTGCCCCTATCTACAGCCCGTGTTTGGTTTGTCCATTCTTGACCACTTTAGAAACATGGCGGAATCCATGGAGGTGACGTGCAGCATCATTTTCAGGTAACAAAAACCTAATGATTCCAATACATTCAGGTGATTATACACTAATGGAAACATACCTCTAAATATTATCTTCCATTTCTGACAATAGATCCTCATAAATGTCAAGCACTGGGTACAAAGAAAAGGCAGAATTGCAGAAGACTTCAATGAATTTACTTTGAAGTTGTTTCAAGGAAAATGGGGTTGGTGCACTTCAGCCTCTTGTGGGCAAAATGAGTATTACAACAACAAACAAAAAATGATCCTTACAAAACAAAATATCACCTGCCAAAACGTTTCTTCCATCTGTTTTCACAGATTAATAAAGTAACTTAGTAAAAATAAATCAAATTTTGGCCTATTTTAGGTCAGATCAGACCAATTTTAGTTTTCTCACTTGTACTCAGGGCTTCCGCAGGTGAAGTGCCAACATTAAAGCTGCCTTATGAAACAGATTAGGGCAGGGTGAGAGTGTAAACTGTCGTCCTGTGACTTAAATAATAGCCCATATAAAACGGTGCTGTGCATTATATCTGAAGGCTGCCTGAGCAGAACTGACAGAGGAGTTCATTATACATTGTGGTAATAACTGATACTGCTTTGTTTTTCAAACAGCACCAACAAATGACCTGCAATAGTTTCTGTGAAAAGAAGCAGGATTACACATTTCTTAATAATGAGCTGAATTTAGATTTTTGAATCTTTTTTTAGTATTTATTCATACAAGGATTTTTGAATGTCTTATTTGTTAATGTGCTATTCTCTAGAAAGGCAAAACGACCTTAACTTGCCCGAGTGTAGAACTGAAAAAAAGCTAAATGAACAGTGTGCAGAATATTAGAAATGACAGTTGTGAGGTCCAACTTGACCTTTGACCCTTTTTCGGAAGTTAAGGTAGTCTGCCTCTGCATTGTCTTAATAATAATAAGGGCTGCTGCCAAGATAAACCAAATGAACTTCCCTTTCATGACTCACTTGGTCAACTGATCACAATATAAAATCAGTATATGATAATAATGATAACATCTACATAAAATCTAGTCATCAATCATAATTTGACTAGCAGTTTGGTTTTACCAAGCGGTTAGCCTAAGCGAGCTAGCAAGGAATTATAGTAGACTGTCTTTATCTCTGTCTTGTAGCCTAAGTAATCTTTTTCGTGTCATTTCTCCATCTCCACCAACCCCACGAGCATTTAGCTGCAACACTGTCTGCTTTACTCCAGCTGCTGTGTGTGAGGGTGGGTGTCAGAAATGCTTCAGTGACATATTAATGATTAACTCACTGAAGTTACAGTGTTTTTCCTATGTATTACACAGGCATAATACTGTAATACCAGAGCCAGGTACTCCTTGCACCACTTTGTTTAGTCAAAGTGAAGTTACTGTTTACCACGCTACAGAAAAAATACCTTAACTCAAATTGAGTGTTCCAGAGTGCTGCCAAACAAAGAACCGTCATTATAGTTAAGGTATTCTGCCTTGGTTTTTCTGGGGGGTTTTAGAAGTTACGGCAAAGACAACCCACTATTTTCCCCGAAAAACAATTTTGTCCACATGATAAAGCAGGTGTTGAATGACAAAAAAAATGACAATAACTAATTTCCGACCAAAAATGAAAGTTTCTTGCCTTGCACAGCAGTATTGAAAACATTGTTTCCATAGCTACAATCCTTTTTCTAGCAAATGTGAAATGCAAAAAGTCCATTCAGCAGACTGTCAGCATGAGGTTTAGACAATAAACTGTCACCCAGGAAGCAGCGAGAATTTAGTCATTCAGTGGATTCAGTGAAATACTAGCTTTACTGAGATTTAGACGTATTAAATAATTTTAAATATTAAATAATGTAAAGTCCTATTTAAACAACACATTATTCATGCTCAGTTACATATCATACTCTTACTGAAAGACACTATAACAAATGTTTTTTGCTTTCAGTCTTTCAGTGATCTATGTTCCCTCTGTGGTTTGCTTTAAAACCCACCCTGTGTTCCAGCCGGCAGGAATCAATGGTCCATTTGAAATGCTAATGGTTTGCTGTCACACATTTATGCACCTGTCCTAATTTCATCAGAGTGGCGTTAAATCAATGCAGTGTCTTCTTCTGCGATACATGATTAATCAACATTATTCGCACTCATCACAGCTAGGGAACTGCAGCCCGTAAAGGCTGTAATAAAATGTCCAGCGTGGGAGTCCAACCCCCGTAGTGTCATTAGAGTACACAGGATATTTAAACCACAACATTTCCTCTCACTGAGTCTTCAGAGTCACTGTGTCATTCCAATCTATAACATTGATCCACTTACAAGATGTGACCTATCTCTGAGTCATGTTCCTCATGACCTTTGACCCCTGAGCCCCTCCTACAAACCTTCTTTATTGTCACCATCACAGGTTTCCCAAATGGTCCTCCTCTAAAGCCTGATATGTCTCTTCCTCTGTGCCATAGAAACTAATAAAGCACACGTTCCTTCATCACTATGAACACACACACACACACACACACACACACACACACACCGTAGTTTATTTATACACTGTCCTGCTGCCCCAAATATTTATATTTGGAACCAAATGTAGAGCTGAAAATAGTCCCTGACAAATGCACCATTTCCTCCTGTTTAAGTAACATTTTCAAATTACAGAGCCTTTATTTCCCCACAAAACTGAAACTTAATATTTGTGAGCCACTTATATAGCTTTATATCTTCAAATGTGTGTGGAGATACTTTCAGTAACTGAAAGAGTAGGGAAGTATTGAGAGATGGTCTTGTATTTTTAACTTTTGACTTTCACCAAGCTTTCACCAACCACTATAAGCCAGGCCCACATTTACTCTTGTCCGCTGGCTTTTCTTTTCTTAGCTTCTTCCATGGTCCTCTTAGGTCCCTTCATCTCTGCCATTAGCTGTGTCCATAAAAGCTGCTGAGCCCAGGTACATTGCCTGCTCGCCCCAGGGCCTGGGTGCTCTGAGCAGGACAGAATGGCTAAGCTAACTAACTAACAGCAGACACATTTTGCCGCAGTTACCTACTGTCCATCAGGAAACTGTACATCACAGAGTTGAGGCAGAGCAGCTGGAGGACATCAGAGGGAAAACCACAAAACATTTTCTCCATAAAATATGATCCAACTTCCAAATTCAGCGGTGGTGTGTGACTACTGCTGTAAAGTGTAATGTAATTGTTCAGACCTAGAAGGGGAGTTACATAGAACAGGAGCACAGGGAGCAGAGTGGGAGTGACAGAGACACCATTCACCTTATTACAACTCAGTGTAGCATCAAAATGATGTGGAAGCTGTTATCTTATTGTAGAAAAGTTACATAACGTTGCTTTAAGATAGTATTTTAGATGCATTTTGTATCTGTTCCTCTCTCATGTCAGATACATGATATTTGCTTATATCCCTGTGGGACTGTCCTCCCACCACTGCTTCACCCCACCCTCCTCTTCCCTTTACAGCAGCACACACACCCTCCTCCACACACACACACACACACACACACACACACACACACACACACACACACACACACACACACACACACACACACACACACACACACACACACACACACACACACACACACACACACACACACACACTAAGTCCCACTGGCTGCCCATTGTTCACATAGACTTGTGCATTGCACCATTCAGGGCACAGACACATGCCCAACCCATCCCCTCTCTCTCTCTCTCTCTCTCTCTCTCCCTCCTCCTCCTTCGTCCTCTCTCTCTGACTCCTTCACATTCTCTATTCTCCTCCATCCAGCAGCATCCTCCGGCTCTCTGCTCTTCCTCCACTGTCAGCAACAATGACCAGCACAGTATCAGGTAAGATGACCCGTTCCACGTGTGTGTGTGTGTGTGTGTGTGTGTGTGTGTGTGTGTGTGTGTGTGTGTGTGTGTGTGTGTGTGTGTGCGTGGCAGGCGGAGGGGAGAGGCTGTACTGTTTTAAGTGTATTTAATAATGGCGTGGGTGGAGAGGGTCTCTGTGTATCTGCGTGATTGTCATGGCAACTGGGGTTTTCTTCTCGCATTGTACCGGAGCTCTGATGTAGATAAGAGACCCTCCCATGGTCCGTGTGGACATGTAAACGTTTCATCCAGAGAGAGCGCGTTATTGGTCATTCGTCTGGAGTTAGAGGTTGCCACTGCTGACTAAATGCCTGCTCTCTGACGCAGATCCAAAGCACAAATTCACACTGGCAATTGTTGTCCATTCTGGTGATTTTTTTTACTGCAGGTAAGGGATGAAAACCTTTATCAAATGAATACTGG